AAAAAAAAAAAAAAAAAAAAAAACTCAGTAAGATACAAAGGAGAAAATAATTCTTCTTCCCCTGCAACTGCAGAAAAGTTAAGACTAATTCATAAAACTATCTTTCTAATGAATAAGTCTTCTAAGACCACCAGATTTTAGAAACTGTTGCTATGTTCTGTGACAGTAAGCTTTAATCTCACAACAAAATCTGTAGTTTTGATAGCCTGCCTTCTAAATTAATTCTGGTAATAATAGATAAGTGACATATCAGGTTCCTGATGGGTCTAAATACATGAATGCTCTAGACAGTCCTTTTTCCACAAGTCTTAAGACAAAAACAGAACGAATGACTCTGCTAGTGTGAGAGTTTAAATTAAGTAACAATTACTTGAAAAAATTAAAAGGTAAGATAAAATATTTGCTTGTTTAGGTACAGATTCTTTCTCAGTTCACAAAGGTAAAATAAAAGTAAATCCAATTAACGAAATATTCGATATCTATTAAAAATGTTGACTACATCAAGATAAAAAAGCAAAACTAAAAAATGCTTATGATAATACAAGCATGGATATAGTAAGGTAGGATGAAGGGAGGTGTGGGCACAGGGAGGAAGTGGGATTAACGCTGTCCCAGTGTGAGGACTGCAGTAAATGTCACAAAAACAGAATGTGTATGAATTACTGAATGGAAAATCAATTTGCTCTGTAAACATTCACCCAAATCACAATAAATATATATACACACACATATGTACCACGGATAAATGGGGAAAAACAGGGAACAAAACTACATTAAGATTATAACTGTGTTTAAAAGAAGATTAGCACAAGAGTGTATTATATAGAATTATTTATGTAAAGTTCAAAAACAGACCAAAGTAATCAACCTAAGGTGTTAGAAGTCAGGATAGTGGTCACTACCAGAGTGATGAGGAGTAGGAACTAGCACAATTTAGAGAAGTTTCTGGGATGGTATAGTTAGCCGTTTCTTGACTTGTGTGTTATTACACAGATGTGTTCACATTAAAACTCTTATCTAAAACAAAAGAATAAAATATACCCAAATGTTATTCATATTCCAAAATCTCAAAACCAAACCCACTGCTGTCAAGTCAATTCTAATTCACAGCTGTTCATATTAAAGTAAAGAATTATACAACTTTCCCCACCCTCAATTTAAGATTTTCTGAAATACATGTTTAGACTGGCTTAAAACCTTTCTAAAATAATGAAGAGTAAGTGCTTCCTATATGTGAGGTACTATTCAGAGTACTTTATACATATGAAAATCATCTAATTCATGTAACAACTCTAGGAAGTTGTTGCTATTATTAATATCATTTTAAAAATAAAGAAACTGACAAACAGAGAAGATGAGTAACTAACCTAACACAATGAATAAAGCGTTAGAGCCATAATTTGAAAAAAATACTCTGGCTCCCAAGTCCATGCTCCAAAAACACTACACCATACCTCTTCTCTAATAAAATAGTACCTTCTTATAATCAAAAAATTATTTAGGAAAAAAGGATTTTTGAGGAATCAAAATCTTTATTACTCTATTATGCACTCCTCTGTGTAGTTAAACGCCAACAAAGGTGGAAGACTGCATGTCAGAAAAAGTGAAATAATTGTAGATTAAATGCAAGTTATTCAAAGCTTATAAAACTATGCATTCACGAGATACCTCTCTTCTATTCTGTTCTTATCCATGAGCGGCTGCTTAATCCACTGATTAACCAATCTTTGTCCTTGAGGAGTTTTGCATTTATTTAGCAAGGCAGCCAGAGACTGAGAGCCAGTGGTATCTTCAACAGAACCCTAGTAAACAAAAAATAAAACAGAATGATACACTTATGAGCGAAAACCTTACATGAAAAAGAACTGTTATTTGGGAAACAAGAACACATAACATTTCTCAAATATTAAATGAGAAATTTGTACAAAAGTTACTCTTTCTAAAATCAAACTTTCAACTTGTTAAAAAAACTTATTTTCTCCTGTACATCTTGCCCAAAACTAAAAGCATTTTATAAATCACAACCGTTTCAGATATGAAACATTTTAGAATGTAAATTAAAGAACTCTTGTTAATATACAATATTATAAAGCCTTGACAAATACTATTCCTATAGCTTAAACCAAAACCAACTGTAATTGTAAAACTAAAATATAACAACTCAAAATTATTCTAAGTATAATATTTCAAAATATTTATTTAAGTTCCTTAATAAGTGTCTTCGGTATATATTGAAGGATATACTTTTTAATCACTCAGTATTGCATTTTTTACCTGGAAAAGGTTAAGGGCTCTGACTGCTGCAATATCCAATTTCATGTACTGGTTGAAGTCAAAAGTAGTCAGTTCAAACTGTCCAAAGTTTGAATCATCTGATAAGAGTTCTAAAAACTTGATTACTGCTGACAGTGATGAAACTGCAACCTAAGGTTAAGAATTTAAAAAAAAAAAAAGACTGCTGTATCACTAGATTTTGTTTTAAAACAAGTATCAAAACAAAAACAAATTCTGAACACTATCATTTTCCTTAGTGTTTCTTCCCAATCCAAAATAAGAAAATTAAGAGTTTCAATAAATCTCTTAGAATTAAAAAAAACATTTTTATAAAATGATACTACAATGACAGCACCTTTTAATCACCCAAAGTAGAAATTACCCAACTGTCCATCACGAATAAAATGGGTAATTCTGGTATTTTCCCACAACAGAACAGTTGTTGTTAGGTGCTATGGAGTAGGCTCTAAATCTTAGTGACTTTGTGTATAACAGAATGCAATGTTGCCTAGTCCTGCATCCTCAAAATTGTTGCTATGTTTGAGCCCATTGTTGCAGCCACTGTGCCGATCCATCTTACTGATGGTCTTCTTTGTCAATGACCCTCTACTTTCCCCAGCATGATGTCTTAATACAGCAATTGGCCCCTACTGATGTAAATGTCTAAAGTAAGTGAGATAAAATCTCACCATCCTGACATCTAAGGGGCATTCTGGCTGTACTTCTTCAAAGACAGATTTGTTTGTTCTTCTGGCAGTCCATGGTATATTCAATACTCTTCACCAATATCATAATTCAAATGTGTCGATTCTTTTTTGGTCTTCCTTATTCAATGTCCAGTTTTTGCACACTTATAAGGTGGTTTAAAATAGCATGACTTGGGTCAGGAGCACCATAGTCCTCAAAGTGACATCTTTGCTTTTTAACACTTTAAAGACGTCTTTTACAGATCTGCCAAATGCAATACTGTTTGATTTCTTTACTGCTGCTTCTGTGGGCACTGACTATTGATCCAAGAATGAAATCCTTGCCAACTTCAATTTCTTTGCCATTTATTGTGATGCTATTGATCCAGTTGTGACAATTTTTATTTTTTTTCTTTTCATAATACTACACAACAATGGGAGCTCTGGTAGCATAGTGCCTAAGGCACTTGACTGCTAACCAGAAGGCTGGCGTTTCAAACCCACCAGCCACTCTTCAGAAGGAAGATGGGGCAATCTACTTCCGTACTGATACTGCCTCGGAAACCCAAGGAGGGGTCTCTATGAGTCGGGTCCAACTCAATGGCACATAACAACACCACCACCACCCACAACAATATGAGCACAAACAATCTACAACTATATATAACAATAGGGAAATTGTTGTTGTTGTTGTTGTTAGGTGCCATCGAATCGTATCTGACTCATAGCAACCCTATGCACAGCAGAACAAAACACCACCCAGTCCTGAGCCAGATCCATGATTCTTGCTATATTTGAGCCCATCGCCACTGCCACTGTGTCAGTCCATCTCGTTGAGAGCCTTCTCCTATTTTGTCGACCCTCCAACCTCACGAAGCATGACATCCTTCTCCAGGGAATGGTCCCTTCTGACAACATGACCAAAGTATGTGAGACGAAGTCTGGCCATTCTCGTCTCCAAGGAGCATTCTGGCTGCACTTCCTCCAGGAAAGACCTGTTACTTCTTTTAGCAGTCCACGATATTTTCAGGCGTCTTCGCCAACACCACAGCTCAAAAGCATCGATTCTTCTTCGGTCTTCCTTATTTATTGTCCAGCTCTCACATGCATATGAGGCGAATTAATACACCATAGCTTGTGTCAGGCGCACCTTAGTCCTCAAGGAGACATCTTTGCTCTTCAGCACTTGAAAGAGGTCCTTTGCAGCTAATTGGCTCAGTGCAACACATCATCTGATGTCCTGACTGTCGCTTCCATTGGCATTGACTGTAGAACCAAGCAATGTGAATGAAGTCTTTCACAATTTCAATCTTCTCTTCATTTATCGTAATGTTGCTTACAGGACCAGTTGTGAGGATTTTTGTTTTCTTTATACTGAGATATAATCCATACTGCAGACTGTATTCTTCAATCTTCATTAGTAACTACTTCAAGTCATCCTCACTTTCAGCAAGCAAAGTTGTGTCATCAGCATATCACAAGCTGTTAATGATTCTTCCTCCAATCCTGATGCCACGTTCTTCTTCATATATAGTCCATCTGCTCGGATTATTTGCTCAGCATACAGACTGAATAAGTATGGTGAAAGGATAGAACCCTGACACAATCCCTTCTTCATTTTAAACCATGCAGTGTTCCCTTTTTCTGTTTGAACAACAGCTTCCTGGTCTATATACAGGTTCCTCATGAGTACAATTAAGTGTTCTGAAATTCCCATTCTTCTCAATGTTATCCAAAATTTGTTATGATCCATACAATCAAATCCTTTTGCATAGTCAATAAAACACAAGTAAACATCTTTCTGGTATTCTTTGCTTTGAGCCAAGATCCATCTGACATTAAAATGATATCCCTTGTTCCACGTCCTCTTCTGAATTCAATTTGCATTTCTGGAAGTTCTCCTGTCAAAATACTGCGCAACCGTTTTTGAATTATCTTCAGTAAGATTTTACTTGCATGCAATATTAATGATACTGTTCTATAATTTCCACATTCTGTGGGACCACCTTTCTTTGGAATAGGTACAAATATGGATCTCTTCCAGTCAGTTGGCCAGGTAGCTGTCTTCCAAATCTCTTGGCATAACTGAGTGAGTGCCTCCAGCGGGGCATCCGTATGTTGAAACATCTCAATGGGTATTCTGTCAATTCCTGGAGCCCAATTCCTCACCAATTCCCTCAGCACAGCTTCAACCACTTCCCTCAGTACCATTGGTTCTTAAACATATGCCACCTCCTGAAATGGATGAAGACTGACCAGTTCTTTTTGGTGCTGTGACTCTGTGTATTCCTTCCATCTTATTTTGATGCTTCTTGCATCATTCAATATTTTGCCCACAGAATCTTCCAATATTGCAACTCGAGGCTTAAATTTTTTCCTCAATTCTTTTAGCTTGAGGAATACTAAGCGTGTTCTTCCCTTTTGATTTTCTAACTCCAGGTCTTTGAACATTTCATTATAGTAACTGGCTTTGTCGGCTTGAGCTGCTCTTTGAAATCTTCTGTTCAGTTCTTTTATCTTGTAATTTCTACCATTTGCTTTAGCTACTCTTTGCTCAAGGGCAAGTTTCAGAGTCTCTTCTGACATCTATTTTGGTCTTTTCTTTCTCGTATTTTTAATGACCTCTTGCTTTCTTCATGGATGATGCTTCTTCTGGTTACCTAGTGCCGCTCTGACAAGAATATACCACAAATGGGATGGCCTTAAGAAACAGGAGTTTCTTCTTACAATTTGGAGGCTTTAAGTCTAAGTTCAAAGTGCCAGGCTCTAGGGGCTGGGTGAAAGCCCCTCAACCTTGGGGTCTAGCTCCACCTCCTGCTCCCGGCCCACTGGAGCTAGAGGCGTTTCTTCACTCAGACAGCTGCTGGCTGCTGAGGCTCAGAAGCCCCAAGGTTGACAAGTATAAAGGCACAGTCCCAATGTTACCAAACCACAAGGCAGGCCATTAACTTAAGTCCATTGTAAGTCCCAAGGTCAGCAGAGCATGGCAGGCTGCTGAGCAACGACACAGCTACATGCAGGGTCCAAGCGTGCCATAGGCTAGAGACCATTCCCAAGGCTTCTCCATATATGTAGGAAGTGGACCACATCTCAGAGGCAGCTACTTAGCTGCCTGTGGTAGATCCCACCACGGAGTTGATTGCCAGTCTCATCATGATGAATAACTACCACCAGCTGCCCAGCCACTCAACCAGGCCCAGCCAAGCTGACACAAAAACATAATCACCACAATGCTCTTGATGTCATTCCACAATTCTTTTGGTTTTCGGTCACTGGTGTTCAATGCATAAAATCTATTCTTTAGATGGTCTCTAAATTTAGGAGGGATATATTCAAGGTCATATTTTGGCTCTAATGGACTTGTTTTAACTGTCTTCAGCTTCAAGTTAAACCTGCAGATGAGCAGTTGATGATCTGTTCCACAAGCAGCTCCTGGCCTGGTTTTGGCTGAAGATATTGAGCTTTTCCATCGTCTCTTGCCACATATGTAGTCAATCTGATTCCTGTGTACTCCCTCCGGCAAAGTCCACATGTATAGCCACCATTTGTGTTGTTGAAAAAAAGTATTTGCAATGAATAAGTCGTTGGTCTTGCAAAATTCTATCATGTGCTCTCCAGCATTACTTCTGTCACTGAGGCCAAATTCTCCAACTACTGATGATTCTCGTTCCCACCTTCTGCATTCCAATCACCAGTGATAAGCAACACATCTTGATTACATGTTTGGTCAATTTCAGACTGCAAAAGTTGATAAAAATCTTCAATTCCCTCATCTTTGACTTTGGTGGTTGGTGTGTAATTGAATAATAGTCGTATTAATGGTCTTCCTTGTAGGCGTATGGGTATTATCCTATCACTGACAGCATTGTACTGCAGGATAGATCTTGAAACATCCTTTGTGATGATGAATGCCACGCCATTCCTCGTCAATTTGTCATTCCCAGTATAGTAGATCATACTATTTGTCTGAATCAAAATGCCCAAAACCCGTCCATTTCAGCTCACTAATGCCTAGGATATCAATCTTTACGCGTTCCAGGATTCATTTTTAACAAGTTCCAATTTTCCTTGATTCATCCTTCGTACATTCCATGTTCCAATTATTAATGGATGTTTGCAGCTGTTTCTCCTCAATTTGTTTGTGCCATGTCAGCACATGGAGGTCCTGAAAGGACTTACTTTATCCATATCATTAAGGTTGGTTCTACTCTGATGAGGCAGCTCTTTCCCAGTCCTATTTTGAGTACCTTCTGACCCAAGGGGCTCATCTTCCTGCACTGCGTTGGACAATGTTTCCGAGCTACTTATAAAGTTGCCCAGTAATGTATCAGACAGTGTTTCTCTGCTATTCGTAAGGTTTGCCCTGGCCAATTTTTGAGAAGTGGATGGCCTCCTCCTTCTTCCTAGTCTGTCTTAGTCTGTAAACTGCATTGAAACCTACGCACCATGTGCAACTCCACTGGCGCCTGAAACACCAGTGGCACAGCCTCAAGCCTTTCAGCAACATACAAGCCCCACAGGATGACAAACTGACAGACAAGTTTGTCTCCCTTAGCTGTTGGAAACCTCTACACCCTCCCCTTACCTAATTCCTATCTGGAACCTGACACTGTGGTCCCTGGTCGCTCCCTCCCTTTCCTGGGTCTAGGGGGCTTGAGGCCTAGCCTTGCCTCCTGCCCCAATAGGGATAAATCTCCCAAAAATAGCATTAAGTGAAATAAACTAGACCCAAAAAAATGGACTACATGGTTCTATTTATATAAACTATGAAAAAAATGCAAACTAATCTGTGCTGTCAATTGTCTGAACACCTGAGTTACCCATGGTGAGGATAATGATTGGAAGAAACCAGGAGAGGGGCTTCTAAGATGGTAATATTCTAGATGCTGGTTATGTAAGTATTTCAATTTATGAAAATTCAGTTATATACTTAAAATACATGTACTTTCCTATATCTATACAGGAAAGGGTATATATGTATATGGCGCTGGGTGGTGCAGTCTGTGATCAGCTGTTTACCTAAAGGTTGGTGGTTTGAACCCATCCAAAGAATAAGGCCCCGTGATATGCTTCCGTAAAGATTACAGCTAAGAAAACTGTGGAGCAGTCCTACTCTGTAACACACAGGGTCATATGTATATTTAAACAATAAAAATTTAAATTACATATGTATATTCTCACTGCCTTTGATGCTATTAATAAAACATAAAATAAAGGACATCAAAGTGATAAACCAATGGCAAATTCTACTTAAAATATACTTGACATTATATACATTCATTGTAAATACACCTATTTCTCATATTTGGTGACAAAGTAATGTATGTATTCTGCCCTTGCCAAATTCCAGCAAATGTATGAGAAGAACCTCTGCTATGTCACCAAGAGGCACAGATGAAAAAAAAAGTTTTAGTTGCCCTAAAAGCTTCTTCATATTTTCAAAAACTAAAGGATAAGTGTGGGGAAAAGAATTTAATCTTACCCAAAAGATCTCACCTTTGACCTTGGTTCCTCTAAAACCTTATCACTTCCCCAAAGACTGATGTTTTTAAGTGTCTCTGATGAGGACTCAAGACCATACCTGAGGGTTTATGAACAAGTTGGGTCGGGGCTGACTATGCCAACAATGACCTACCATACACAATAAATGTGTCGAGCTCTATCACACGACTCAAGGAAGGGGGCTGGAGTTTGAATTATATAACAGGACTCTCAATAAAAGCTCTTGACACTCAGTCTCCTGGTTGGCAAAGAAATGTGCTCATGGAAGGGTAATGCTTCCTCTTAGGGAAACATAAGTTCTGTATTAGGAACCCTCCCAGACCTCACAGTATGTGCCTCTCCTTAGAGCTAATCCTGATTTGTATTCTTTGTAACAAAAGCTGTTAATTTTAACTCATTCCTTGAGTTCTGTGACTCTTTCCATTGAATTATGGAAGCCGAGGGAGTAGTGGGAGCCAGTAGGTTAGAAGTGAGGGGACTGGAGCCCTCAAGCATACAGTTGGTGTCCTGAATGCATAGAGGAAATCCCCAATTTGTATCAACCCAATAGGTCAGAAGTGAGAGGGGCCCTAGGAACTCCCAAGCTTATGGTTTGCACCTGACATTTTATGTCCTTTAATCTTTTTTTCAAACAAATCCACACTTCTATTTATTTACTTTTCAATTAAGCTTAAATCCTTAAAGGGCATAGCATTACACAGATCCTGTGTCCAATGTTCTTAGCAGGAAGGTTGTGTTGGAATTTGGCACAAGCCATGCCATGGTTTTTTAGCATTATATCAGACAATGTTTCACTGCTATTCAGAAGATTTTCGTTTGCCAATTCTTTTAAGAAGTGGATGGCCTCTTCTTTCTCCTGACTGAAGTTGTCAAAGATTTCGTATTACTTGGTTTCACAATCAACACCAATGGAAGCAATAGTCAAGACATCAGACAATGTATTGCACTGGGCAAATCTGCGACAAAAGATCTCTTTAAAAGTGCTGAAGAGCAAAGAAGTCTCTCTGAAGACTAAGGTGCATCTAACCCAAGCCATGGTATTTTCAACAGCCTCAAATGCATGTGAGAGCTGGACAATGAATAAGGAAGACCGATGAAGAGTTGATGCTTTTGAGTTGTGGTATTGACAAAGGATACCGAAAGTACCATGGTCTGCCAGAAGAACTAACAAATCTGTCCTGGAAGAAGTACAGCCAGAATGCTCCTTGGAAGCAAGATGGCCAGACTTCATTTGACCTACTTTGGTCATGTTGTCAGAAAGGACCATTCCCTGGTGAAGGATAATCATGCTTGGTAAAGTGGAGGGTCTACGAAAAAGGGGAAGGCCCTTAACCAGATGGACTGACACGTGGTTGCAACGATGGGCTCAGGTATAGCAAATATTATGAGGCTGGCATAGGACTGAGCAGTGTTTCATTCTGTTGTGCACAGGGTCACTATGAGTCAGAGCCAAATCGACAGCACCTAACAACAACAACAACATGCCACTGTTTGCCTGAGCGTGAGTTACCTTCTCCCAGATCACTCTAGTTTCATTAGGTTCACCACCAGGAGTCACTGTATTGTTCTTTGTCTTGTACACATAAGCACATCTCTTGCCTAAATAGAATTCAGTTTCATCTTGGGCATAAACACATTCAATTGTAAGAAGAGCTGTGTGCTCCCTCTGGTTCCAAAGACCCCACTGAACCACAGCCCTCCAGACATATTTGCCAGTTTAGAAATCCTGTTCCCAGGAAGCCATCACAGGCTCCAAGATGGCACCAAGAGCCGAGTCCTTTAACTTTTGAGATTTAACCTAGCTCCAGTGGTCAGAACAGAGGAAAAAGTACTACATAGGAAGCTAGTGTCAAAAGAGAAGTGGCAGAGAAATAAAGAGAGGATTTGATATTTTCCTCACAACAGTTTCTCTAATACTGGATTACTGCTCAAACATATTGTTCAGATCGTCAATATAAATAAGAAAATTGGTTTAGACGGTCAATTGGAGCAAATTATTACCTGATGAACATTCACTTAAAAATAATGATAGCCATAATAGTCTCAGTACATTCTAGTTTGAAATCTACTTTGATAATTATATGCAGTTATAAAGGTTCCTCTATCTTAAACAGAGGCCTAGTGGCACAGAGGTCAAAGCGCTCAGTCATGAACTTAAAGGTCACTGGTTTGAACATACCAGCTGCTCCGTGGGAAAAATATGACGCAACCTGCTTCCATAAAGATTTACAGCCTTGGAAATCCTATGTGGCAGTTCTACTCTGTCCTATAGGATCACAATTATCTTGATGGTAATGGGTTTGGGTTCTTTTTTTTTTTTGGTCTTGTTTAAACAGACACAGAAGTTCTCATTTATTGTGATTAACAAATACCCTGTCAAAAGTTTCTAATATTTTACCATAAAAATACTTCAAGCCTTACCACCAAGATTTGACCAATAAAATAAACTTCAACCATTGATAATTCCATAAAAGTTACACTGTTTATTTCTATGACTAATCACACATAACCCATGCTAAACTCTGGGTCAAACTATTTAGATGCAATATTTATTATACAATTACTATGCTTTGTATATACTTTCACACTTACTATCTCCTAATCTTTAAGGCAGGTATTTTTATATACTTTCACACTTACTATCTCCTAATCTTTAAGGCAGGTATTTTTAACCTTATTTAACTGGTAGGGAAATTGCCCCTTAGAAAGGTGAGATAATTTATCAAAGGCTCCACAGCTAGTAAATATCAGAGGTGAGATACAAAACAGGTCTTTTCTCCCCTCCATTCAGAATGCTATCTCACCTACTAAAGTGAAAGCAATCAGACTCTTTCTCTTTCAAGTGAAGCCATTAAAACCTTACATACCCCAAGGATATATGTAATGCAACATTAAAAAAAAAAAGAAAACTCTGCCATTCCAACTCATAGCCACGCCCACTGGGTTTCCAAGGCTATAAATCTTTATGGAAATAGATTGCTCCATCCTCCTTCCACAGAGCAGCTGGTGGATCTGAACTGCCACCCTTCTGGTTAGAGGCCAAACGCCTCAGGCACTGTGCCACCAGAGCCCCTTGTACAATATAATTATATTATATTTAAGATTATATTTAAATTTTTCTAGTCATTTTCACAACTTTCATCATATATCAAATAAGCATACTATCAATGATCCACAGTTTAGGTTTTAAGATACATGTGAAAGAACTAAGCTTCTAAAAATCTACTATTATGATTTAAGAATAAATTCACATTTGCAAACCACTGACCTGATTCTCCATTTCTGGCAAGACAGCACTATTCATCTGTTCTCCCTTTTTGGCTTTCAATAATCGGTTGAGATCCTGATAAACGTCCTTTGTGGAAAATTCAGCTCTTTTTCTATCTGTGATCATAATTCCTCCTCTCTGAATAATCTATTTTATAAGAAATACTTTAAATTACCACATTCAGATATTACAATGAGAAAAAGAAGCTTATAACATGGAGGGATAAAAAGTGATGAGACTTCAATAGATTACTAACCCACACTGAATTGTTACATAATGTGCAAGTCAATAGCAGCATATATTCATTAACATATATTTGAAAAATTTATAGATGACATTTTAAATGTGGACATAAAACTTTTAAAAACTAGACTCAATAGTAAAAATTCAGGGAGGTGAGGGAACACTGTAAAAAAAAAAAAAAGAAGAAGAAAGAAGATACATGTATTACTTAAGGGAAGTTGCTTAGACACTATCTATGCTATAAATGTCCAAAACATATTTGGTATCTTCCAAGTAGTTCTTAAGGTACTTGAGGTCCACAAAAAAAAAAAAAAGAATCCTTAGAGCATACATTCCTTCAGAAACATCTAAATAATAAACCATATACCCATACAAATGGCAATCAGAATTTCATTGAAGTTAAAAAAAAATCAAATAAAAGACTAAAATTATACTTGAACTACCAAAAATTAATACTAAGAATTACATTTTGCTTATTTGAATAAATCCATACTAAGTACAGTGGTAAGTACAGTTTTCTTTCAAATTGGCCCTATGTTGTTGTTGTGTTTTTATGTCCTTGGGTTTCCGAGGCGGTATCATTATGCAAGTAGACTGCCCAAACTTCCTTCTGAGGAATGGCTGGTGGGTTTGAATCACTAGCCTTCTGGTTAGCAGTCAAATGCCTTAAGCACTATGCTACCAGAGCTCCCTAATTGGCCCTATAGCACCTATTTTCCCCCTGAACCAAGAATGCATTCCTTTTGTTCATTCTTAACACTTCAAAGTTGACAATATGTTACTCCTTCAAAAGGGGAGTGGGAGTGGGGTACAGGGGGAAGGGAGGGAAGGAAAGGGAAACAGTCTTAGAACAAGAAACCTCTTGTTCTGAAGTTCTACTAAAGATATAAAGTTTTCTGTCAAATATCAGGACATTCCTCAAAAATAAAACACTATTATCATCAGATCCAAAACTTTAGACTTTTAATTACATAGCTTTCCTTAAGTAAAACAGCCTTATGTCCATTAAAAAGCCTTTTCCAGACCTGGATTCTAGATTGATTTCCTTACCTGCCTCAGTTTTCCCATGTCTCCAGCAGTCTCTCCTCCTGGTAAGACACATTCCTTGGGTCCAATCTGAACCAGAAGAGCTTCAAGATTGGAGAATTGGTCATTGTCAGGGAACTCACACAATCCTAACTTCCTCTGTATGCAGTCAACATATCCAACTCCAACCTGTCTTTGGCCATCAGCTGTGGACATTTTAACACCCACAACACCAATGGAAGATGACATATCATTATTACCAAAAAGAATGTCTTCAAACTGAGAAAGATTGCCTGGAGAAGCCTGAGCAAAAACAAAGAAAAACTATAAGAAACTGTTGAACTTACTTTAAAATTTTATCAGCAAGCAAGAACTCCAACTCTAGTGGATTTTACTAATAAAATGTTTTCTAACAAAAACTTATTACTTATAACCATATATTCCAATTTATTATTACTATAATTTCTATAAAGTATCCCTACCTTTCCAACTATTCTCAGAATAACTGGGCACATGGGGGTGGGGGGGAACCAGGTTTGCTGGTCTGATAGAGCCTGGTGGAACCACTAAGACTATGGTCCCTAGCTGCCCTTCAGGTCTGGAACTGAACCTACACCTATGGCTTCCAGCCAAACAAAAGACAGGCATATGAGTTGAACATTTACCTGAGGTGGTACAATCCTTGGAGAAATCAATCATGAGAGAACAGAAGAGCTGTTTATGCGCAGGCAGACAGCTCAGGGGGCAGGAGTGCGTGGAGGGATGGACACAGGGAAGAAGCAACTATCGGGAGGAAGTGGGAAGGGAGCTGTTGCATTGTGGTAAATTGTGGTCAATGTCATGAAACAAAATGTATGTGAACCACTGTATGGAAAGTGAATTTGCTCTGTAAACTTTCACCCAAATCACAATTTAAAAAAAAAAAAAAGTGATTTCAGGCTTATGCCAATTCATTCGATTGGCATAAGAATCTTCACAAAAATCATGATCTGTATCCTAATGATGTAATGTCTGGTGTTTTAAAAGCTTGTGAGCAGCCATCTAAAGCACAACCATGGGTCTCTATTCACCAGGAGCAGAACAGTAAGATGGTTAAATGAACCACAACCTTATCTACCCTGAGACCAGAAGAACTAGATGGTGCCTGGCTCTCACCACTTACCATTCTGACTGGGATCACAATAGATGGTCCTGGATAAAATGGGAGAAAAATGTGGAAAAGAACTCAAATTCTTATTCTTTTTAAAAAAGTCAGACAAACTGAGCAGTAGAGAACACAGACTCCCTAAGAGTATCACCCTGAGACATCCTATAACCTAGAATTGAGACTATTCCTTGAGATCACCCTCTAGCAAAATAGCAGAGCAGCATACAAAATAAAGGACATTACCCATAAGTTCAGCACTCTGCTTAAAAAGCACCAGTGTGAGACCAAAAGGTCAACAATTAGTCAAAAGCAAAGGTGAGAAGATAAGGGGACAGGGAAACGAGAGCACTGGAACTGGAGCAAACAATACACAATTAAGAAAATGCTGACACATTTTGATAAATGTAACTAATGTCAATGAACAGAAATTGTCAAATGGGAATCTACCTAACTTGTTATGTAAACTTTCAACAAAAACTCAGTAATTTTTTTTTAAGTGATTTCCGTTTAAAATCTGGCAGCTGGGTTTATATACACAATCAATAGGGTGCCCAAACTGGTAATCCTGTTAACAATATGCTTAAATTTCCACATTCTACCAAACCACCTTCTGTTGCATATGCCAGTATTTTCACAGAAGTAGCCACACCACATAACCAAACACTAAGCCAAGCCTAGTGCCATCGAGTCGATTCCAACTCATAACAAACCTATAGGGCACAGCAGAACTGCCCCAAAGGGTTTCCAAGGCTGTAAATATTTCTGGAAGCAGACTGCCACATCTTTCTTCAGTGGAGCAGCTGGTGGATTCAAACTGCCAACCTTACAGTTTGCAGCTGAGTGGTTCACCACTGTGCCACCAGCACACCTCACCATACCACATCAGAGATCAGTATTATTACTTTACCTTAACTATTGACCTTGAGAAGTCATCTCTCTTAATCAATATATTGAGCTGTAGAACGCAGAGACTGTTCTAGACCAAATAAAGCATCCTTGACTTATTTTCAGTATTTCTTAGAAATCACTCTTTAAGATTCAACAAGCTAACTAAAGGGTCAAGTTTCTTTGCTTTTGGCTGGACTTGGGTAACACTGTATACTTCAGTCTGATCATCAGAAGCTGACAGATTGCTGTTACCCATCAGCCATTTCTGGGGCATGTGATGGACCATACTTTAAACATAAGACAATCATAGGACACAAACAGCTTCCCATGAGAACAGTTATGGTCACATTTAAGCAACCAGTAGTAATCAGCAGTACTGAATGCTTTTGAGCATCACAATCATGGTAATCATTTACCTTTTCATAATAAGATTATGAATCCCCAATTGCTATCAACTGTTGATTAAAATGTGGATCAAAACTGAAATGAAAAAATAGTGACTATTCAAAGGAAAAACATCGACTCAATCGCAAACATGAACAATTTTTCACATATATGCTTTAGATTTGCATGCAGAGATTAGGAAGCACACCTTAAAAAAAAAGCTCTCAAAATGACCCAAGAGTTCTTAAGAAAAGGTAAGAATCATTGAAAATGATCCAACAAGTAATCTCTGAGGGAGCTCTGGTAGCATAGTGCCTAAGGCACTTGACTGCTAACCAGAAGGCTGGCAGTTCAAACCCACCAGCCATTTGGTAAGTTGGGCAATCTACTTCTGTAGTAATGCTGCCTGGGAAACCCAAGGAGGGGTCACTATGAGTCAGGTCCAACTTGATGGCACATAACAACAACAACAGTAATCTCTGAAATAGTATCTAAGGGCTTTTCCTGTTCTGGACATACTATTGAGAACATGGGGGAAAAAAATCGAACACAGAGATCAACTTCTTCAAATACCATTAATACTTTAACTCACTGCCATCAAGTCAGTCTCGACTCATAGTGACACCTTGGGTTTCCAAGGAAGTATGTCTACGGAAGTAGATTGCCAGTCTTCCTTCCAAGGAGTACCTGGTGGGCTTGAACCACCAGTCTTCTGGTTAGCAGTCAAGTGCCTTAGGGACTACGCCACCAGAACTCCATCTTAAGTCACATGCTAAAGAATACTGAAGTTTCTAAAAACATTGTAGCATCACAATCTAGTTAAAATTTTAAAGCACATAGAATTCTCTCACATTTTTTATTTTTTCTGCTCTTAAAAAATAATTTTATTAAAAAGAAGATAATTACCTTAAATGCCAAATACCAATCATTCTCTTTGCAAGCCTTGTTTCCAGCTCTATTCTTGTAAACTTCGACTCTATATTGACGAACTAGAAGAAGACCTTTGACGAAAGACTCAAAATTCATTTTACTAAGCACAACACTCTCCAGAGTCTTTGCTCCTAAAGAAAAACATTTAAAAAAAGTTACATGTTACAAATTTGAGGATTTAAAGTGCCAAATTTTCAAGCACCTAACACAATGCTTTCCAAAGTTACATTACTTTCTCAGTAATTCATTTATTCAATAAATGGTTTACTGAGCACCTACTGCATGCCAGGTACTACGGTAGGAGAAGAGTATAAAATGGTTAACAGACACAGTGCCCCCTGGTTCTATGAAGGTTATACAATAACATCAAAAAAAAAAAAAAAAAAAACTCATACATTCTTATAAAGGTATGTCAGAAATACAAATTACTACAAGAATAAACATATTAGAAAATTAATCATGATATTAAGCCTTCTTATTTTATGCTTCCACTTTTAGGAACAAAAAACTTACAAAAGCCATGTAACAAAAAAAAATAAAAGAATGAATAAATACACATATAGCTTACTTTATGCTACTTTCTTGCAATTTATTTTTCACAAGTTTGAATTAAAGTCATAACTGTATAGAATACAAAACTTTTTTTTGAAAGATCTAAAAAATCAATTAGTCATTGGTCATTGCAAAAAACGTTCTAGGTATTATTAATTTATATGGGAAAAAATTTTGAGCGTTCCCAGACTCCAAAAATAACTTATCAAATCATACCAGATAACACTTAAAACCTAACATAACACTAACATACAGCATTAACAACACTAACATACAGTGTTATTAACATTAACAGGTAGTGTTAAGGAGCTCTTGTGGCACAGTGGTTAAGGCATTCAACTGCTAACCAAAAGATTGGTGGTTCAAACCACCAGCCACTCTACAGGAGAAAAATGAGGCAGTCTGCTTCTGTAAAGGTTCATAGCCCTGGAAACCCTACAGGGCAGTTCTACTCTGTCCTACAGGGTCATTACGACTTATAATCAACTCGATGGCAGTGGACTTGGTTTTTTGGTTTATAGTATTCACAGACACAGTTCAAAGCTATAGAAGACTTAATACTGAAAGTAGTTCCCCAGGAAGGAGCTTGGTGTCACCACTCTTGCTGCATGGGGTATGTACTGCCTCTTTAACAGCTTGCTACAAACAAATGCTGAATGCTAGTTTCGCTTTTCCTTTTTTTTTCATAAAGTGAAAATCCTCTTCAGATTCTTCTTGGTTAGCAAACACAGGTATAGATATTCAGAAAAACAAAGTGGCATAAAATCAACCACTGAAAAGCAAGGGATCTTTGTATAGGGTAAAGAAGGAATCTGGACTCTCTAGGTCAGAGGGAGCAGCTACCCAGCACCAACTCATTGCTGAATTGCAGAAAAAGTTTTGCCCAGTTTTCTGCTTTGCAGATTGCAAAATGGGCATGGCAGCAGCATCTTCTGGCCTCCTCTAACTTCACAAGAGAAAGCCAGAATCACCATCAGCAGTCCAAGGATTATTCCTATGAGGGCAGACATGCCGCCACCCTCCAGCCTTTTTATCAACTCTGACAACAACTGCCCCTCCCACAGTACCACTACTTCTCTGCTGGGCTCGATATTTTGTTGCAATGTCTACACAGAACTCACAGACAATATTCACAATTATGGGGTTTATTAAGGAAGTAACAGGCTGCAATTCAGGTTCAGGAACACGCTCAGGATACAGTTGCTCGATCAGGACAGTCTTCCCTCTGCTGCGCCCTGAGACACGTCTCTCTGGCCCTTAGCTTCTCCACCTGGCCTTGGCCTCTGTGGGCCAGGTAAGCCTGCCTCTCTGTCTTGTGCCTCTTGGTTCCACTGTCACATCTCTCAGCCGGGGCATCTCTCAGCCAAGGAAGTCCAGCGCAGGGATCTCAGATCCAAGGACACACTCCACTTTACCTCCAGCTCTTCACTCTTGATGGCAGTGAGAGCCCCTCTCTGCCTCTAGGAGAACTCATTTCAAGCCTGGCAGAGTGACAAAACTAACCAATCCCAACATCAGAGCTCTACACACCTTATTTGCATGGTCCCACCACCCAGTGATCCGGGGGGAGTTACAAAGTCTAGAAAAGCCATACAAAGTAATTCACTGCACCACACAGATTTTTCAAAAGAAATGAAAAACCTAAACTTCTACATGAAATATCCCAAATTTTAAAATACAAAGAATTAATTCAAATCTTTATCAAAACACTTTAGGCTACCAGTTTTCAACTCTCAGTAAATTCAACACAGCCACGTTTTCTTACAGAGCTAAATAAACTCATTTATTGAGCTCACATTTAGAAAGCAAGCTGAATGAAAATTACTTGTTTAGTCTAGAACCTCATACAGCAAGGCTTCCTACATTCTCAGAGGCACGCAAAGGAACTCAATGACAACTAACAAGAACAAGGCCTATCAGAGCTCAAACAGATTTACATCTCCCAATTAACACTCAAAATCAAAACCTCACAGAAGAATGGCAGTCACCACTCAGTCATTTCCCATTTTTGCCTAGTACATAGGGTAACCAACTTATTCCAGTTTGCCCAAGACTATTCCAGTTTGGGAACTGAAAGCCTCCATCACAGGAAGCCCGTCAGTCCCAGGCAAACCAGAACAACTAGTCACTCAACCAGCGTATCAGGTGGAATTCCATATAATGTACATTATGCATTTGATGAAACAACATTTCTTTTATCTTTTAGAGGGGTTCAAGAAAAGTACCAAAATAGTTACTAACACAGGATCAGAGAAAAATGTTACCCAGTGATACCAATAAATGCCATTATAAATATCTTCAGTAACTTTCAGTAAATACATCAATGAGCTTGAAAAACAATGTCTTTCCTATCATCCCTCAATTTTGATGGCAAGAGGTAAAGTTACTCAGCAAAAGAAATTCTGGAAAGAGGAAAATAATACTGGTCTGGCATAATTTGGGAGCTACTCTTAAATTGCAGGTCCAATGGATGTACCAGCAGCAGAATTATTTGGCCACATAAAATGCAACAATTGGTCTCTCATCCAGAGCACAAGAGTGAAGAAAATCAAAGACACATGGAAATAATTAGTCCAAGGAACTATGGCTAGAAAGAGTGTACCATACAAACCTCAGTCAATATGACACTGACACCATAAGAACTAGATGGTGTCCAGCTACCACTGCTGGTCACTGGGAAAGGGATCAAAGTTGGAGATCCTATACAGAGTGGGAGAAAAATGCAGAACAAAACTTAAATCATAAAAAAAGACCAGGCTTACTGGTCTGACAGAGACTGATAAGACCCCTGAGACTATGACCCCTAGTCAACCTTTGGGCCTGGAATTGAACTCATTCCTGTGGCTTCCAGCTAAACAATAGGCCTACAAGAGGAACAATTATACCAGGTAGGTATACTCCTTAGAACAATCAACCACAGCAGATCAGAAGGGCAGCATTTGCATAAGGAGATAGCTCAGAGGGGAGGAATGCATAGGAAAGGACACAGGGAAAAGGTGACCACAGGGAGGGAAGTGGGAAGGAAGCTACTACATTATGTGGATTGCAGTCAATGTCACGAAACAAAATGTGTATGAATCACTGAATGGAAAATCAATTTGCTCTGCAAACTTTCACCCAAATCATAATTTAAAAAAAAAAAAAAAAGACTGAAGGAAAAATTAAGCAATTCCCAGATAAGCAAAAGCTGAGGGAGTATATTACTAGTATACTTGTCCCACAAAAAATGCTGAAAGGAATTCTTCAGTCTGAAAAGAAAGAACACTGTACAAAAAACTCAAAAACATACAAAATATAAAGAATACAATTACTGTATTTTTACACAAATAACACGAGCCTTCTATGTTTGTTTGCACTGCTGTAAAAAAATTGGTACACGAAAATGTTTACAAAAGTATTTCCCGGGGGAAGAAATGGTTGGTGTTTTGGTTATCTAGTGCCACTGACCGAAATACCACAGATGGATGGTTTTAAACGGACAGATTTATTTTCTTACAGTTTAGGAGGCTAGAAGTCTGAGTTCAAAGTGCCAGCTCTAGGAGCTGGGTGAAAACCCCTTGACCTTGGGCTTCAGCTCTGCCTCTTGCTCCAAGCCCACTGAAGCTGGATGCTTCTTCTTTACTCAGGCAGCTGCTGGCTGCTGAGGCTGACAAACCCAAGGTTGACAGGTGAAATGGCACAGTCCCAAGATTACCAAGCAACACAGGCAGGCCACTAGTTAAACAGTGCTAAGATCAGCAAATTACACAGCAGGCTGCCGAATGAAGACTCAGCTCCATGCAGGGTCCAAGAGTGCCAAAAAGCTCAGAGACCTTTCTTAAAGCTGCTTCTTATATACTAGAAGCAGACAACATCCTTAAGGCAACTTGCTGCTCATAGTAGATTCCACCATGCAGTTGATCACCAGTCTCATCATAGGGAATAACTACTACCAGCTGCCTAGCCACTCAAAACCAGGCCCAGCCAAGTTGACACATAACCTTAACTACCACAGCTGGCAAACAAAGAGGGCACATGTTATTTGCATTAAAATACAGTAATAGTCACTTCTTAAGTAAATATGAAAGTATTATTATACTTTTGGTTTAGTTTGGTTTATGATTTCATTTTCCTTTATGATTTAAGTGGCAAATGCATAAAACAATACTTATAAATCCGTGTTAAAGGACATACAATGTTTAAAGATATAATGTGTAATGATAATAATGTCAAGGCAGGACAGGACAAAGAGGTACAGGAGCTGAGGCCATCCTTCTCTCTCGATTCAATTAAATGCATTTTTTAATCCATTTACATCATCTTACACCCCTTCCCTGAAATATTGTAGGAGCTCCTCATTGAAACCTAGAAGAAATCAATTCCTCAGAAAATTTTTAAATGTAACTGTCCCTTAACATCTATTTGGTTGATATCCTATGACTTCCACTGTCACACCCAATTCTTTAACTAAGGCATAGTGTTATTTTTATCTCATTTTTATTTATTATCATCTTTCCTTTGAATCCCCCATCGTCTGCCCATCTGGAATTAACTAAATTCTATGCATCTTTCAAAACTAAGTTCAAGTGTAATTCTCCAT